TGAAGATATAGTGCAACAGCCTAATATTTTCTTTCTGATGAAGTGACAGGACAAAAAGTCAAAAGGTAACAACTATTCTACTTCAAGAACTGATATTATCTCTCCCAGAAATTGAAGAGCTGCAGCACACAGTCCCTAAAGCAGGCAGATTGCTTGTGCTGGATGTAAAGGTAGTTTACATGATATATTCCAGGCATCAGAGGTAATTTGGGAGCTTGAAGATGGGAGGTAGTTAAGTACAAAGTTGAAATTACTCTACTAGAAGATGTTTTTAAACATCAAAATTGAGACCAATTATCATTTGACCAGGGATTAGACTGGAATTTACATGCTTATATATGCAATTCAATTAAAAAAAAAAATAGATGCAATTATAAAGAAGGTAAACTTGCCATCAGGATTGCACACAGAGCTGTTTTGTTAAGACTCTGCACTATTGAGTCAGCCTCACACCTTCCCTATTAGACATTCTGGATAGACTCTGCCTGTAGTGAGAGTCCTTTGGTAACAGTAATTAAGATGTGACTTCACCCGAGTTCACATGCAGGAACACGTACACTGAGAGCTTTAAGAAAACTAATTCCAAGTGTAAGCACACTATCAAAACGCTGGTAGTCTCAAATAATTTATTAAAAACAACTGACTACATCCTTAAAGTTAGGCCACTAACTTTGCTGTCACTAGTTACGAAACCGCAATTTTGAAACGGAAAACTTGCTACTGTCATTGAAGAGCGAGTCAGAAAGAAAGAAAAGCCAAAAGTAACACGAACCCCTCCTCGCTGCCCATCCACGTGTATGGAGCGGATGTGATCGGCCAGGTCGGGGCTGGAGCTGAAGCAGGCGTGGCAGTGATCCCAGCAGCAATTGTAGGCGATGCTCTTGGCAGAGGATGCAGCCACTCCCTGCCCATTCATCATGACCGGCGTGGAACGCCCACTGGAAATTGTGCTGTCTACGTCCATGATAGTGCTGCTTATGCTGCGAGACAAAAAAAAAAAAAAGCCACAAGTGAATCAAAGTTTGGCTTTGGTGCATGTCAACAGAGCAAATCACTATTGCAGCTCTCTTGTTTCAGTTATAGACAGGTTGAAAACATTGTACAAATGTGGTTCACTGCTTTTATTAATAAATGTACAGTTAGGAAACAGCTACTGTAAATCGACAATGTAACTTCTTCTGGACACTGGGAACAAAAAGGAGCAATGGAAAATCCTCAATAAACGGAGCCAACACTAGAGCCTTAAAAAGAATACAGCACTTCAGTTCTACACAGGCTTTAAGGTGCTCCCACATGGCCTCAGCACAGTGTCCATCGTGTGCACGGTCTAAACTAATGCTGTTTGGTTTGGTTTAGCAAAAATGTTCCCAGAGAAGGCAGAACCAGCAGAGGAAATCAGTGGCCAGCAGGGGCCACTTTCATCAATCAGCCTTTCTGCTCTGCACCTCGGCAGATACAGAGACAAGCATCAAACGGATCAGAAAAAAACTTGCAGAGTATGTGCTTTCCACAGATAAACCACGAGTATGGAGATGGATATTCTTCCTCATTAAATCGCTACTGATACACCTTTTTAAGTCTTGTTAACCTGCTCAGTTGCCATGAAGGCCTTTTAAGTTTTTCTCTTCCACAAAAGCCACAGCACTACAGAACAGCTCATCTTTGACAGAACCTCAAAGACCAGATGGTCAAATTTGCTTAAACAGGAACGAGTGAGATCAGACTGCCTGTGGTCTTGGTCCAGTGGAGTTGTTAATGGGTGTGTTCAAAGGCTGGGATTTCTGCTGCCTTTCTGGACAATTTTCTCAATGGCTGACTAACCTTGTTGTGGGGGAAGAGGGGAAGTTTCCCAACATCTCATCAGAATTTCCAGTGCTGCAACTTCTGTCTCTTGTCTCTCATCCTTGGCAGCTGCAGCGTTGAGATGACTCTGCCTCCTCCATTGTTAAAGTTGCCATCACATCACTGAGCACAGGAAAACCCTGCCCTCCTCCTCCCAAACCTGAGGGAACACAGGCACTCAGCCTCGCCATGCACTGCACTGGTTTCAGCAGCCTAAGCACTTTGGAGAGCCTCCACCACATCCTCTCTAGATGTGCAGAACTGGCATTTGTTAAACCATTCTGCTTTTAAGGTACAGGTGCTGTTCCTTATTTTTACCATCAATTTACATGCCCAGTATTGTTCTATTACACACTGAGATGAATGAAAGAAAAAAAACACCATTAGTCAAAATCTGAAGATACATTGGCACGTTTGCTCTTCTGCTCTAAGAGTCTCTATTAGTGATTTCTCACATTATCTGTATCTGAATCACTACTATGCCAGCAGGTTTTTTCCGTGACAGATTTTGAAATAATCACATATATTTGCTTTGTTTACATTTCCCATTCTCACCCACCATGGAGATTTCACTGCATTAATGAATAAAAAGTGACTTGCCTTAGTCTAAATAACAGATTCCCTTTAGCAGTGCTCCCAGTTTAGTTTTAACTACCCTGAGTAATTTGGTTTCATGAACAAACTCTTATCTCAAGAGATAGCAGCAACATAACATATCCCAACCACAGAACCCTTATCTTCCAATTGATTTGCCTCCATCTGTTATTAAAACTGATCAACTTTTTCCAGGCCTTTGTCTTCCAAGTTAAAAAGAAAGCTTCACATACGTTTTCAACACCTTTTTGCTTTAATGAAGGTATATCAAATATATAGTTCTGAAATGCTACACGAACACCACATGCCTTTCTTCTACCCCCCTCCCAATTTCAAACAAGCTCTAACAATGTAGAAGGCACAGCTCCTATCCATGGAAGTCATACAGGCTATTTGCTGCTACACACCAAATTTCCATGTCTCCATTATTTTTATTTTCATCCCTTTTCCACACCCTGAATACACAGAGCTTTCCATGATCCTTCCCCATGTCTCCCTTCCCTCCCCAGTAATCTTGATTTCTTTTATGACATGCAACCTCCCAATCTGTCACTAGCAAGTAAAAAAAAAATATTCCACTGGCCCCGAGCTGAAGCTCCCAGCCCTGGCAGCATTAACAGCCCCTAACTACACATACTGTACAAGTCTTTTAGGATCCCTGTAGGAAATTTCCAGAAGCTTTTTCTGAAAAACCTGTTGCAAATAATCTTAATTTTTCCACTGTGCCAGGCTCACAACAGATGCAGTATTTTCTCCTTTCTCAACTGATGTCTAGGGCAAAAATGATCCCCAAAAATAAACTCTGTAAAACTGCACTGTGAAAGCAAAATTTACTTATGATGACAGAAAAATTGAATAATTACTTGTAGTTAATTGTGGCACCACCCCACCTCCCCCTCAGTTCAAGCTGTGCAAGTAGAGCTTTCTCAAAATGCCACTTGGAAGTAGGTTTGGACACCCAGAATGGCCCAAAGCCCAGGCACCCAGTGCTGTTCCACGGATCAGTGGCCCTGCCAGGAAGCTGCTTAGCCAAGGCTGGCACAGACTGCACATCCAGCTGTGCCACAGCTGGCTCAGGGCACCAAAGAGCCCTGCCCTTCCCACAGCTGAAAGCACCAAAGGAAACTGCTTCCCAAAGATTTTCAAGGAGGAGTTCAAGCTCCAAAGCTGTTTGCAGTCGAGGAGTTTTACACGCACAGCCAGCTTTAGGTGTGTTCTCACACAGCCCACGAACTGAAGAGATTTCTGGCTGAGAGGATGTGTGGTGCTGCTGAGCACAGGGCAGGGGATGAGGGGTATTGAACACAGCTCCTCAGCCTGCTCTGAGGTGGGAAAGGAATGACAAAATGTAACCCTGAACAAGTTTCTGTGAAAGCACTTTGGGGCAGGGGAAAAGTGCACCCTCGTGCAGGGGTGTGTGTGTGGTTTCTCTGTTCCACAGGCATGAAATCTGCTTAATTCCTCTGAAAAAAAAAAATCCCTGAAAATTATCAACCCAAAGGATGAGAGTTTAGTTCACACTGCCAGTGCAGTGCAACAAACCTTGACACAAAATCACGTCTCTAATTTTACAGCCCAAGAAATGCAAATGCTTAGGTTTTGTGGGTTTTTATAAGCTATCCTACCTTCTTCTGGAGAAAAATATGTAAAAGTCAACTGATCCCAGCAAAAGCTATCATGACAAGTAGGGTTATTAATGACATAAGAAACCAGTAACACTTGGCAAGCTAATTTAGCTATTCTTGTTTAAATGTTTGCTGGGTTCAGGTTTAATAGCCTAAGTGTTTGCTAAGGGCTAACAGATTAACACGGTATCAAAATTTGGTATCAGAGGAACCAGAATAAAAAAAAGCTTCCCATAGCAGCTAAACCAAATAGTATCATACAGAATTTGGAAATTGAGAATGAAATGCTACATTGGACTATAATTCTATAAGCTACTCAAAACCCTGCCTAAAAATGAGAAAAAATATAACTCAAATCCAGTCAAGCAATAACAGCTTAATATTTAAGGTTAAATGCCCCCCTTCCTTCTAGTCTGAAGAACTTTGAGTACGACATTAAAGAGCCCAGATAAATATTGCTGTAACAGAACCAACTAGAGAAATAACTCAATGGTCTATAAAACAAAATGACCACGAGTCACACAACAAGAGATCACTAGGTTTGGGTGCACTTGCTTGAAAAAATTTTGGTACACTCTAACATAAGAAACTCAGTGCCCTGGGAGCACATTCCTTCTCCAGTAACCATCTGTTAAATAAAATGTAACACACATTTTTTGTTTTCTCTCCTGTTCCTCCAGAACCAGCACATTTCAGGTAGTCAGGTGCCTCCCAGTACTAACAAACCTAGAATCAGTTTCTGTCTCACTTAGCAAGTTCTGTCCCTCCCTAAAGAGCTAAAGGCTGCAAAGAGAACGCATGGGAGACACAGCTCAAGTGTGTGTAGTTTTCTCTCGTCTTTCATACACTGAGAAAAGTATCAGGAAGCTTTTCAGAGAATAGTCTGCAGTACATGGAACATCAAAGACGCTGACTTGGGCGGTCTCTTGACCTGCCCATTTCGAGATGAAGCAGAAAGATAAGTTCTACAGTCAGAGCTGTGGCTGCTACTAAGTCTGTGAAGACTTAACTGCAACACCGTGTCTGTTAGAGCTGCCAATTACCCACCTTCTTGTTTCTCAGAATTTCAGAAAGTGCGTGAGGACAGGACACACAAGTGACGCGTGCACAAACATGGGCTGGACCACAGAAAAATTGTGTGTATCCTTCAGTCTAGGAACGGGGCTTTACAATCACACACGACTTTCTGTGTGCTTGGGACGATGTGACAGAGGGAAATGCTCCTTAACAAAGGGAAGGTAGTAATGGAAATTACATCCTTCTGCTTTCTCACCTCAAATCCATAAAGCTTACAAGTGGGAAAGTAATAACGTGTGTAAGAGGAGAAAACAAAGTAAGAAAAACACAGACATCTTGGTAATAGAACAGACACTGAAACAGATTTTTAGCTCTCCAAGTTAAAGCAAGTTTGTCTGCCTTTTGCTAAGCTCCTTTCCCACAGGCAGGAGATCTGCTCCAAGCCTGCCTGCCACTATCAAAGCAGAATGACACGAGCAGAACTGAAGTGCTTGTGGCATTCCCGTCCTGCCAGTGACAGACAGGTCCGCGTTTGCTCCCAGGCTGTAGGCAGGCTCCAGCTCCATTGTAATGGATCTATAGACCATGGCCTGATGAAGAACATTAGACATTTGAGTTTCAGAGAGTTCAGCTCAGGGGTCATCCCAAACAATAGAGCATCAAAAACAGTCCCTGCTGGAGAGAGCCTGCATACACAATAGCAGTTTTTAAGAAGCACCATTCAAAAGACTGACTAATTACTAAAATTTAGAACTGTTACAGCAAGCACAACATGATCTTCGAGCTTATGTTGTCCCTATTTTCAACCTAATCAAGCACCTGAATCAACTTGACGTAAAAATCGCAGGTCTGGAGGCAAGAACTGAATGTCCCTCTGAAATGCCTTACTAAACCCAGAGCTC